TTCTTGTGATTCAAAAGATCATGTTTCTCCAATTATCTCTAACATAAACAATGTTACAATTTTTACTAATTTAGATTGGGGAGTAGTGAGAAATAGCTGCTTCATATGTAATTATTTAGGTTGGAAACATCATGGTTCTGCAATTTTCTCTAACACAGGCAATGTTGCAATTTCTAATAATGTAGAATTGGGGAGTAGTGAGAAGTGCCTTTCATAGTAATTCTTATTGGTTACAAAGATTATTATTCTGCAAATTTTACACAGCACAAACAATTTTGTGTGATCTAAGGTGGGGATTAGTGACACATTTGTATTTTCTAGTGGAGTGTAAGACGCGAACGGAGATAGCGTAGATCAAGGACGATCGCAGTGTGACGCGAATGATCGATGGGTAGGAGCGAGATCCCAGCCGGTTGCGCGCGAGAATTATAAATTCCCGTGAAATTATAAATCCCCCGTCGGCGGAATATTTCATTCCTGGGCCCGGGTCGGAACGGCTCGCTCGGGGGAACCGATACTTCGGTTTTGAAGGATTTATACGATGCGCCCCGATAGATCGGACGAGATACGTCGTCCCACGTTTTTGCCGAGCACAACGCCACGCACGAAAAATCCTTCGAGTACATAGAATCTGTACAACGTATCTCGAGAGCAGGTGGAAACTAACTCGACAGAGACGCTTGACAAACCACACTGGCAAAATTCCATCAAAATTGGAAACGACTGGAAACAAAGTTTAATCGAGTGTCTTGTATCAAATCTTAAACCACACTGGCAAAATTCCATCAAAATTGGAAACGACTGGAAACAAAGTTTAATCGAGTGTCAAATCAAATACATCGCGTTGTATCAAATCCATACATCGTTTTAGCAAGTGGACTCGAATATCAAATCAAACACATCGTTCCTGAAAAAAATACACTCGATTGTCAAGTCAAATACATCGAGTCCCATCAAATACACATCGTTTCAGAGGCAAGAGAAATCGAGTGTCAAGTCAGATACATCGAGTGGAGTCGAATACACATCGTTTCAGAGGCAAGTGAAATCGAGTGTCAAGTCAAATACATCGAGTAGCATCGAATGCATACATCCTTTTAGCAAGTGGACTCGAATATCAAGTCAAACACATCGTTTCTGGAAAAAATACACTCGAGTGTCAAGTCAAATACATCGAGTACCATCAAATACACATCGTTTCAGAGACGAGTGAAATCTAGTGTCAAGTCGGATACATCGTTTTTGAAAAAAATACACTTGAATGTTAAGTAGACATATCGAGTCGAGTCAATTACATATCATTTCAGAACCAAGTACACTCGATTTTTAAGTCAAGTACATCATTTCAGAGGCACATACACTCAAATGTGAAATCAAATGCATCACGTACCAAGTCGAATAAATCAAGTATTAAATCAAATACCTCTAGTGTGAAGTCAAAAACACCGAGTGTCCATTTAAATATATCGTTTCAGATGTAAATACACCCAAGTTTCAAGTCAAATACATCAAGTAGAGTCGAATACATCGTTTCAAATATAAGAACACTCGATTATCAAGCGAAATACATGGTTCCAGAGATAAATACATTGATTATTAACTGAAATACCTTGAGTGCAAGTCAAATACACCAAGTACCCAGTCAAATACATCGTTTAAAAGGCAACTACACTCGAGTGTCCAGTCAAATACATCGAACAGAGGCAAATACACTTGAGTATCCAGTCAAATACATCGTTTCAGAGGCAAGTATATTCAAGTGTCAAGTCAAATAAATCGAGTACACTCGATACATCGTTTCAAGGACACAGCATTAAAACGCCAAAAGAAAACTAACAAACTTTCGAAAAGTTCAAGAAAGTCGAAGCCGTTTCGGTGCGAATGGAACCGAGCGAAATCTTTAGATTAGAGAAACAACGGAATTAACGATCGAGGATAAATCGTACGAAACTGAAACCGAACGTATACACTAATGAAGCCGAATTGGAGTCGAAGAAGCTAATCCGAGGAAGATCCAAGATCCACAGAGGATCTGGCCGATGACCTCCGAGTGAATGTTTAATCGTCCCGGTCGGTGTTTCGCCGAGTGAATCGATTCGGAATTGCATTGTCGAGGAAAATTGCAGCCGAACGGGAGAAAGTTGCACGGAACGAGAGGAATCATTTCGATCGTTGTGGAGACGGAGGAAGGACCGAGAGATCTTTGAGTTCTTCTCGAGCGTAACCGCGTGCCGGAAGTGTGCAGTACTGTTCTCTGATACGACGTGGTCGCTTTCCCTGGCAATCTCCATGGAACAACGATACGAATCTATCGAAGAAAATAAAACTTGGATCGATTAAGAAGATGATTATTGAAGATTGTGTGTTCCACACACACACATATGTGGTGTGACGCTCGAAAACTTCTGATCAGAACAATTTGCTCTGAATTTTAGCAATTGTTTTTCTACGGTTTATCGTGATCGTGTGGACATACTCCTTTGATCGATCGACAGGATTAACGTGGATTTTCAATTTCTTCTTTTATGACGTTCACGTTTTAAAGGCTGATCGACGTGTAAATATGTGAAGTCTTTTTGTCTTTTTCTCTGGTGACAGTCGACATTAAGATAAAAATTGGATAAAGTGTTAAAAAAAATAATAACTGCTGATTCAAATTTACGTGACTCTTCGAACATTTGCAATACAAGAAAATAAACCGTAATTTCTTATCTGATGATATTCGAAAAGTTGGCTTTTTCTCTGGTGACATTCAATGTGAAGATAAAAATTCGATAAAGTGTTAAAAAAAATAATAACTACTGATTAAAATTTACGTGATTCTTCGAACGTTTGCAATACAAAGAAATAAACTGTAATTTCTTTTCTGGTGATATTCGAAAAGTCAGCTTTCTCTGGTGACAACTGAACAAAAAATAAAGTGTTAGAAAATAATTCTTCGAGCGTTTCCGATACCAAGAAATAAAATTGTAATTTCTTCTCTGGTAACCTAGAGAAAAGAACGTTATACGGTGGATTTTATACGGTGACTGAAATTTATAAAAAACTTTCGATAAAAAAGATTCTTCGTTTAATAAAATCGAGTTTCATCTCTGGTGATATTCAATATGGTTGATCTCAGAAAGAACAACGCTGTGTGACTTGTTCGAAATTAATGGTGAATGTTTGAAACAGTTTTCACGTACGAAGATTAAAAATTTTTGTGAGATCGTAAAAACCGTGTCGATCGTTTTTTAAAGAAGACAAAGAGTGAACGTTTCCATCGAGGATGTCGCGATCAAAGTCGAACCGATAGTGCCACGTGAAAATTCGAGGAATCTTCCGCCCCTTTTTCGTTCGATTTTCTTCGTCGAGGAAGCAAGATGCGGGACAAACTTGCATTCGGTGTAAGTTCGCCCAAAGTATTGAAATCTGTTATTTGTTTTACAGAATGTCTTGTAGGTGTTAATTTATCAAATGAAACGTAAAGAACCAAATCCTTATGCATTATTATTTTTGTGACTGGACTGCGGAAGAATTCATGCAAATTCATGATTTTAGATACAAATATGTAACGATTAAAATTGAACACAACTTGAATGATCAAAATTTGAATAATCCATAAATAGTATTTGTCTTGTTTTAAATCTTTATTGTATTGCGTTCTCAAGTTACACGGTGCTATAATAAGACAATGCATATAATAAGAAGAAACGATAACATCAAAATGTCTGATTTCTTCGGTACAAAAAAACGTGAGATTCAAAAATCGAAATTAATATTAAAATATTCGAAATTATATTTTTTTACTGTAAGTCCAATTCATATCTAACTTTTGTAAGACATTTTCTATGGATGATAAAAAAAAATTTTTCGCTTAATAAGATCGTGTGGAAACACTCCTTTCATCGATCAACAAGATTAATGTGGATCTTTAATTTCTTCTTTTATGACGTTCGCGTTTAAATGACCGATCGACATTCAGATTGCAAAATGCAGTAGAAAAGGAATCTTCTTCGACAAATGTGTGAAGTATTTTTGTCTTTTTCTCTGGTAACATTCAATATGAAGACGAAAATTGGATAAAGTGTTAACAGAAATAATAATTAGTATAAAAATATTCGAAAATATATTCTTTAATATACGTCTAATTAATATCTAATTATTGTCAGCAAGGATCTGTAATTTCACTGATCTGAAATAGATCATCACGTTTTCAGCGGAGAAATTCCAATATTCTCTCCATAAATAAATAAAAAAGAAACAAACATAGGTTTGTTTAATATCGACATTTTCGACTTGAAAATAACAAGATACAACAGATATATCAGTCGTATTATGTTGAAATAACGATTTAAGGATCTGGGCATTAAAGGGTTAAGGTGGCTCACGCAAATTTTCAGTAATTCTAAATTTGGTCGAAAATTCAACAGAACATTCTTAAAAGCTTCAACTTTCGATTGCTACCAAAAAATCGCACGGTCAATAATAAAAGTATTGAAAAAGAAACATTATAAAAATTTCTTCTGAACACGAGCCTTATGGAACTGTAGTTAATACTGAGAAGTTAATCACTTCTTCTTTATTTACAACAAATATTTTCATAAAAAATTGTGTGGTTACCGATTGTATTACGGAGATTATGATGGCACAGAAAAAAGATATGTTAACGCTCAAATAAAACTAAAAATTAAGATCAAAGTATGCAAACTTAGATTTCAATGCATTTGGTAGTATCTTCTATGCATGTGTGTTCCAATTTTTTCAAAAAAATTAAAGAAAATTAAATTGTTGACAATAAGGGACAAAATTTTTATTTTTCCATTTATTTGTAATTTTTTTGTCCATTTCAGTATTTCTAAGTTATTTCAAACATTAATCATTCGAATTAAATTGGTGAAATTGATGAAAAGTAACGCGAGCTACCTTAAACAAGGAAAATAGATTTTAACCTTATTATGATTTAAGTTAGCGAAGGTAATCCAATTGCGTGAGTATCATACGAATGATGTGATTTACAGTCGGGGGTGCCGGACATGCACGAGACACTGTCTAGTTTTCCGGAACAGTTCGGAGATGGGCCGAGGAAACCGGAAATAAAGCCGGAACCGGCGAAGGAGTCGGACAGTACGTCGGATAACCTGAAGTGCGGCTGGTTCTGGTTCAGGCCCCTGTACCTGCAACGATTTCGAACCGCGAAATGGGCGCTTTTCTGGTTGTGTTGGACAGGCGCGATACAAGGTACGTGATTTCACCATAATCTTCAGACCCGATTTCGTTTCGAAATCAGAAATTAAGGGGGGGGATTCTCGTGTAACAGCTCTAAAAGCCAACTGATGTTTGTGAACTTTTTCTTTTGAGAAAACTATTGACAATATGAGAGTAAACGATCTTGAAATATAAGACGCCATCATTAAATTGTTTAAAGAAATTTTTTTTTCTTACAATTCTTATTATTATATCTTGGATATTATGCAAGAGTTGTGATGCTTTCCGACGATGTAACCATTGTTGGAGTTCAATGTAAGTACCAACCCATACAGCGACACACGTTAGACGATTTTTGTGTCGTACGTTGATTTCTTCCCATACGTTGATTTCCCTCTATACGTTAATTTTTATCCCTTTTTTTTTCCCTACTTATTGCTTTTTCTCCCTATACGTTGATTTCTCCCTCTATGTTTATTTTTCCCTATATGTTGATTTTTCGCAATACGTTGATTTCTTCCTATACGTTGATTTTTCCCAATACGTTGATTTCTCCGTATATGTTGATTTTTCCACACACGTTAATTTTTTTTCCCTACTTATTGCTTTTTCTCCCTATACGTTGATTTCTCCCTCTATGTTTATTTTTCCCTATATGTTGATTTTTGCAATACGTTGATTTCTTCCTATATGTTGATTTTTCCCAATACGTTGATTTCTCCCTATATGTTGATTTTTCCACACACGTAGATTTCTCCTTATACATTGACTTTTCCCCATACGTTAATTTCTCCCCGTATGTTTTCTCTCTATACGTTGATTTCTCCCTATATGTTGAATGTTCCCCATACGTTGATTTCTTCCTCTATGTTAATTTCTCCCAATACGTCGATTTCTCCCTCTATGTTGATTTGTCCCTATACATATATTGATTTCTCCCTGTACGATGATTTTTCTCCCTACATGTTGATTTCTCCCTATACTTCGATTTTTCCACACACGTCGACTTCTCCTTATACGTTGAATTTTCCCCATACGTTGATTTCTCCCTCTATGTTAATTTCTCCCTATATGTTGATTTTTCCCAATACGTTGATTTCTCCCTCTATATTGATTTCTCCCTATACGATGATTTTTCTCCCTGTACAATGTTTTTTCTCCCTATACGTTGATTTCTCCATCTATGTTTATTTTTCCCTATATATTGATTTTTCGCAATACGTTGATTTCTCCCTATATGTTGATTTTTCCACACACGTAGATTTCTCCTTATACATTGACTTTTCCCCATACGTTAATTTCTCCCCGTATGTTTTCTCTCTATACGTTGATTTTTCCCTATATGTTGAATTTTCCCCATACGTTGATTTCTCCCTCTATGTTAATTTCTCCCTATATGTTGATTTTTCCCAATACGTTGATTTCTCCCTCTACATTGGTTTCTCCCTATACGATGATTTCTCTCCCTGTACAATGATTTTTCCCCCTACATGTTGATTTCTCCCTATACTTCAATTTTTCCCACACGTCGATTTCTCCTTATACATTGACATTTCCCCATACGTTGATTAATCCCAATATGTTAATTTTTCCCCTTAATCTACCGCCGATTGACTCGATATTGCTCGGCGTTACTAATAATCGTGCACCCATTCGAATGCAATTTCGGAAGCTTTCGACGACTGCGTGACTGTTAGGGATAGGGGGATGGGGGTAGATTCGGTGACTGACGACAACCGGAAATCGAGTTTTCCGGGCCGATAGCAGGAGGTTGACGCACGCTGGAGGGTAGCGGGTCGTCGAAAGGAAACCGATCGACGAAGGGCGAACGGAACACGAAGGTTGTCGAACGATTGGTAGGGGTATAATCAGGAGGTGAAATGGAAGGGGCTAAGCATCGGAGCGCAGGGTACTTAGTTTAAATAAGTTTGTTCGTCCCCCCCCCCAACCCCTTCATCTCCCTCTGCTTCTTTGACACGGGGTTACGGCAACAAAAGAAATCGTCTTGTGGAGTCGTTCGTGCCTTCTCCGTGGCCGATGGGATTGAACAAATTGCTGGACAATGGCCCGCCGGGGGCAATCGTCTCTCCGTACATTCAAGTCCGGACTGTGGTTCGTAATGCGTGCGCGTGTATGCTCGCGTGGAGTTTTTAGTTTTTAGGCCTTATTTCCACTTGTCACTAGAGATAAACCGATAGGGAAAAGGCCTAATTACTGACAATTTAAGAAATGACACTGACATTATTACACAATTTTTATATTAATTCACCAAAATCATGAGTTCTTATTTGTATTTATTATTATTTAATATGTTTTACTGATCCCCGGGGATCATTTTATACACATACATTACAAAATTAATCCTTAAGTATGCCTTCAAAGGAATGTGAATAAAAAATATAATTGATCACGTAGCTAAATTTTATTTAAGCCAATGATATGATAGATAGACTAACTTACAAAAACTACTTTACTTTTATTTAAATAATGAGCATTTGTATTTTTTATATACATTACACCTTAAAGGGATCTTTTTAGACACCTTTCCCCTACAATGTAATATAGACGAAAATTAATAAAATACACGATTCATAACAGAATTCCCAGAACTTTAAAAATATCTTCTGTATTTTGTGGTCGCAAGTGGAAACGAGGCCTTACGCGCGGGCGATGATTGTATGGTGTTGGTACAGAGAGGACAATCCGGGGCAGCTGGAGGAACGAATTGTCCGACGACGACGGGGCACACTCGGCCCGGGTTTTAATTAAAATTCTCCTATTAGCGGCACAATGGGAAACGAAGGTGGTTAATTTTCCGGGTAGACGGTCTTCCCCCCGGATACGGTGTGGTTTGAGCAGCCTACTTGCGGGCGCGATCATTCGATAGGTGTTATTTAAATAGCATGGGAGGGTGACGGTACGACTCCAATTGGAAGCTGTTTCTGGAATTTATGTTCCTTTTTTTTTCTTTCTCTGATAAGTTAGAATTTTTAAGTAGGTTAAAAATTATGGTCACTTCAAAATTGGCCATATGAAAATTTATTTAAAGCTAGTACTGCACGGTTCAACCGGTTCAGCTGGTGTGCTTCAACGGAGTTAACTTCGATTAATTTTCATGTGGACAATTTTGAAATGATCATATTTTTGAAAATTTTGTTGATAAGGAGGACAACTGAGACTATATTTTCAGCATTTTTCAAATTTTTCTATAGTGTAGTGTCTCGCTATTATAAAATTGCATTACTTTAAAATAATTGCAAAATAAATGGTTCAAGAATATTTGTTTTTAATTGAAACAATTTATATTAGGTACTCTTATGTCTCCACTGTAATCACCCACAAAAGTCATTTTGATCAGTTTCTTAGTTCAAAAGTTATAATTTATTACTCGGCCAGTCGAGTCGAGCGGTACTAACAACGTTAACTTCAATTTTAAAGTGTGCATATTTTTTAAAATTTGTCTACAAAGAGGACAAATACGACCACATCCTGATTTTGTCTAAATTTTTCTATAGTGCCCTACTAATATCAAATTGCACTTGATTAAAACAATTACGAAATAAATAATTTAGAAGATACTGTTTTCAACTGAAATAATTTTTATTACATTCTCTTATCTCCCCTCTCTAGGTACAAACAAAACTCATTTTGATGAGTTTCTTAATTTAACAGCTATAATTTATTGAACAAACGTTGACACTATATTTCAAACAGCTGTGAAATCAGCAATTTAAAAAATTTTCCGAAACTCCTTCGAACTACGTTTATACTATAACATATCCAAGATACAAGAAAACCTGAGTGCAATGACCCATTAATAATTTCTTAAATTTACTACAGCCTAAACTAGCGAAATCGATCAGGAAGTTTCAACGTTCTTCAAAAATAGATTCTCCCGAGGTCGTACTTCCAGTAGTTCTCCGTCGACATTCTTCGGATGTAACATCTAAAAATGAAACATTCGAGTACAATCAACGATATTTTGAAACTCGACCCCAAGAGTAAATCCGCGTGGCGCGCGTAAATGAATCAGAAGGGTAAACCGATTGAATTAGGTCTCCCCCTGCGCAGCCGTGATCTGCTCACCCTCGAAGAAAATCATTCCCTCGGACGTAAATCTATCAAACACTTCTTTCTCACGAGCATACAGTGGGTAAAAAAAAGTATTCGTAGACCCATTAAAACAGGACAACTCATTCAAAATTGGACCAAGTGACTTGAGTTTCTTTTTGAAATTAGAAGGATTAGTTTACTAAATAACGTGCACAAAATTTTTGAAAAATTTCCGACTTTTCAGAATGTCGAAGACAATAGTAAATGTCGTTTTTATAACTTTTTTGTCTGAGACTGTAATGAAAATTTAATAAATACATTTCGAGGATTTATGTCAGTTATATAGATGCTGCAACTTTTATTGAAATCGATTAATACCGAAACGAGTAACAGGCATCGAAAGATGTAAGAATCGTTAGATATACTACAGTTCTAGGTGAAAAGTCGCTAAAAACTGCGATTTTCAATATTTTTAACCGTTTGTATCTCATAACAACGTTAACTGATTTCGATGAAATTTTCAGCATGCATATAACTAATATAAATCTAAGCAATGTATTTGTTAACTTTTCATTACAAGTTCAGGTAAAAAAGTCGCAAAAAGCGACCTTTATTATTTTCTTCGCGATTCCGACCAATTGCAACTTTTTCAACATTTTGTTAACACATCATTTAGTACACGAATCTTTCTAACTTCACAAAGAAACTCAAATCACTTGGACCAATTTTGAAAGAGTTGTTCTGTTTTAAAGGGTGTACGAATACTTTTTTTACCCACTGTACATACATGCTAATCGCTTCTTAATCGAACAGCCGGCATGTGCGTTTGTCAGGGCAAACAGCCGTTCGACCAACAAAAGCGAAAAATTCGTTATTTTAACAGTCGCAAAATTGGCTTGGATGAATGCACCAGTAAATATTATGAAAATAAGTAAAATTAAGGTATTAAAATATGTTGGTGATTAAATACTGAAATTTTTCAATTCCTTTTTTCATATTTAAACAATTTTCGCGCCATTACCACTATGGATCAGAAACTGAAATTCCACGATGAAAATCGAAATTTCCTTTCTTGTTGGAAATGGTACAGTATGGTATGAAATGTAGTTGTCAGCAGATAATTAATGAGTTTAAGAGGAAATGGATTTAAAAATTATGAAAATCCTTTTTTCAAAACCATTTTTTCAAAAGGCTATTTTTTTAAAACCATAAAGATAATGGTTTTATGAGCTTGTTTTTGCTGCGTATCTCTCATAAATAACTGATTAAAGAAGATGTACACCTAACTCTTTTTTTACACGGTTTTTTTTTACTTGATTTGAAATAACACGGTTAAAGAAAAAAATCACATTCCTTCTTTGTACACAGTTTGTTTCCTAATTGCAAGTTTAAGTAGAAATATTTATTCTTAAAGAGTGTAATACAAATTCTATTAAAACCTGTTTATACTTAACCTATAACTATACCTAAGATTCTTCAGTTTATTGTATTCTGTGCACTAGATTTCACTGGGAATTTATAGAATTGACAGTATAATCAATACACATGATGCACGGATAATGTTTTCTTTCATAGATTCGATACTGAAAAGTTCATCAAAGTAGACTGTCTCGGCTGCTGAGTCTCAACTGCAAATAAACATCGAACAGAGCAACGATAGTTCTACAATATTAACGCAATGTCACTCTGATTTCTCCCAATGAACTTCGATCTATCGTTTATTATCGACATTCTGTCAATCGACGGTTTAGCCAGTGCCATATAAACTATAGCACAGATAGGGGATCATCATATTTAATTATCAGTTGTTCATTCACTCGACCAGATAGACGAAACATTCTAATACAGTAGTAGTGAAAACAGAAATCGTTCAATTACAATAGGTGTTAGCACTAGACTCCGGAAGTTTATGCAAATTCACAATTATTGTCGATACTAATATCTAAAGATTAACATCGAGCTGAACTAGAAACCCTATAATAAGAATTTTCCTACAATATTAAATTAAATTAAGTTAAATTAAATTAAATAAAATAAAATTAAATTGATTTAAATTAAATATGTTAATGAACTGTTGAAAAATTGAACAAAAAACGAATTTACGAGAGTCTGAAGTATTTCTCCCTACAAGATTATTGTCCCAGCGTGGACCCCAATTCGAGACAATAATAGAGAGGAATCTGTATTACGCATAAACAAAGATTGCTACCGTGCTATTATCGCTAACAAAACAAAAATCTCTGTTTGCAGGAATGGTGGTGAATGGTTTCGTAAACGTCGTCATTACAACGATAGAGAGGAGGTTCGGCTTAAGATCATCGCAGACTGGACTAATAGCTGGCGGATACGATATAGCCAGCTTCCTTCTCCTAGTCCCTGTGAGCTATCTGGGCGGTCGTACGAAAGCATCGAAACCGAGGTAAACGTTCCCACATGTGCTTTGCTTACGATTGTTAACCCTTTAACGTTCTCATACCCGATGCACATTGTAATGTACACTAATTTTAACCTTTGTCCTAAAACTATTTTACATTTTTTATTTTCAGACCTTATTTTCAGAAAATACAACATGTACATTGCAATGTATAATATTTTTAACGTTTGTTTTTTTAGAATAGTTTTTCTTGAGAATAACTCTATAGAATAATTTTAACTATTTTACGTTTTTCATTTCAGATCTTTTTTTCAGAAAATATGACATCTACAGTGACTCACAAGTTTGTTCACGAAAGGCTAAAGCTGCGTCGACACTGTATAGCAAGACAGTGTTATACAAAAAATTGTTGTATAACCTTGCTATAAAACATGTTTTTATTACTTGTTACAAGACTACGCCTTTCAGACAAGTCTGTAACAAATTTGTACAACATTTCGCGACTCATTATTAATAATGGCGTCACACTAGAGGGATAACATATAGCTTGCTATATAACACGAAAAATGTTATGTAACATTACGTTATATAATATTTTTCTGTCTGTTTTTCTAAAAAGTTTTATAACTTTGCTATAGAACATGGTATGTTATATAGTATAGACGCAGCTTTACATTTCTATTTGACCGCATTACTGACCAAGGTGCCAATTTTATTTCAAAATTGAAAAAAAAAATTGTAGCACGAAACGATGATAAAAAGTAATGATACGGAGAATATGTAAATAGAAATTGCATAAATGTTTTGACACGTAATTTGTTGTTCCAGACGTCTGTGAACGAATCTGTGAGTCTATGTACATACATTGCAATGTATAAATGGACTAAAAGAAAAAATAAAGTAAAGTAGCTTCAGAACGAACGTTAAAATTATTGTGCATTGCAATGTGCACTGGGTCCGAGGAGGTTAATTGGTAAAATGGGGTCTTGAGGAACCCCATAGAATTTTTAGACAAATGAAATTTAAACTGTGACTCTCTTTCGATTCGTGTCAACGTTGTATCCGGGGAAGAAATTTCGAATGAAAAAGGAAATTCGAGAATATAAAACACTCCGAAATACTGCTTATAGACTGCGGATTTTTATGCAAAATGACATTTCAAATTCATAAATACAAGAATAAAAATAGAAATTTCATTCCTCCCTTAAGCATTTTATTGGGCGAAGAATAAAATAGCAAATTCATTACATCTGATGAAAATATTGTTTTTTCTTGTATTTCACAGAGCCCTATCAGCTATAAATGCATAAAATCCGCAATCTACTGATAAATTTATACACTACAGAATTATAAGACCTCGTGATGTTCATGGGCGTGGCCAAATTATCAGTCATAGGGAAAGGGGGAGGGGGAATTTATCTTAAGGTAAATTTCATAATATTATTTTTCATAATAAATATATTTAAGGGGGATAAATCCAATTTGTTCTTTTCTAAGGTAGGGCAAAAGCCGCTTTTTCTCTCTAGGGGAGCGGGAAAGTACCACCCAGCCCCTCCCCTTGGCTATGCCCATGGTGATGCGTAATATTTTATAATTTGATGGAAGAATTTTAAAGAAACATTTGGGAAATCTTGATAATCGTCATTCATTCTAATGATCTGACGATCTTTTTGGTTGGTACACTTTTTTCACAGATACATAGGCGTAGGAGTTCTAGTCTTAGGTATAGGAAGCCTCCTCTTCGCGTCCCCTCATTACCTCGCTGGACCGTACAGGGGCGGCCAACAGTCACAGAACATATGTCAGAGGGTGACGAACACGTCGTCGCGTGCAGTAAGTTCGAAATTTCTGCACGAATTCATACAGGGTGTCCCAAATAATGTGAACACTTTAAATATGTCACTTAGTGTTGATTTTCAGAGAAATTATTTTAACAAATGCTTAAAGTGATGTTCATAAGCTTCGACACATTTTTGCACTAATCTTTCATTATTTAAATTTACTTTCTTGCATTTGTAGACTCTTTTTTACTCAAGGTCGAACGAAGGTTACACTAATATCAGTCATGGGATTGGTCTTTACCTTAACTATTATGCTACAATAATAAAAATATACAGGGTGTAACAACAGTGGGGATCATTTTATACACATACATTCAAAAATGATCCTTAAGTAAGCCTTCAAAGAAATGTGAATAAAAAACATAATTGATCACGTAGCTAAATTTTATTTAAGCCAATGATAAGATAGATAGACTAACTTACAAAAACTACTTTACTTTTATTTAAATAATGAGCATTTGTATTTTTTATATAAATTACGCCTTAAAGGGATCGTTTTAGACACTTTTCCCCTATTATTGGTGACTGGCTTGCTCACTAAATTAAATCACTCTCAATTTACGTACGTATTCCTGGTGTTTAGGTGTCATGCAGTGGGTCGATGGGCCAAACGGACCAGGAGCCTTACAGCGGCTTGTACTTAACTATCTTCCTTGTCGCGCAACTTCTGCACGGCGCTGGTTCCGCTCCTTTTTACACGCTCGGAGTTACGTACCTCGACGAGAATGTGTCGAAAAAGATGTCTTCTGTGTACTTAGGTAAGAAACCTTACGACTGTTGTTCTTCGTGAACGCTGGATTAATAGGAAAATTTCAATCGGGAAAAGAGAAGCAATATGTCGTAGCGAAAAAATAATATTGTGGTCCTTTCGAGAATAATCGCAAGAATTTTGTTTTTTATTTTTTTATTTCAAGCTTGACATACGATTAACGAGTAATGTGGTGCAATTAGAAAAATTGTATAGAATACTTGACAGTGAAATTTTTGGAACGGTACTTAAAAATATTAGTGTCAAATATATATTAATAAGTAGAGTCAGATATAAATAGTGACATTGAATGGTACTTTAGAAATACATGATAATGTATTTATTACTATTATTATTATATATATAGTAAATAGTATCTGTTACAATAATATCCCAAAAATATTGATGGAAAGAACAATGTCAACAGGAAAAAATGTTTCGAGTGTAATGATCCATCAAAAAATTAATTTTTGTTTTCCCTTTGAAAATAATTTTTCCTTTTTTGAATATCTTCCATTATTGTACCTTGGGAATATGAAAGGAGGTAACATTATAGATAGAGAAAAACCGTTTCGAGTGTACTAAACTGTCAGGAAATAATTTTTTTTTTTTATTCCTAATATAAAGATTGTAACTTCTGTCATTGCTATACCTCAGGAATATTAAAGAAGAAAGGGACATTATAAATAGAGAAAAAAAGGAATTAGGTGTGCTGAAGCGTCGTAAAATTAATTCGTGTTGAAATCCACGTAGATTCCAACAGAACTCTTTGTACGGAATCGAGGGAAGAGCTTTAAAAAATGTATTTGAAAAGATACCTACTCTCCGCCTGTTTAGGAATTTTCTACACAATGGCCATAATAGGACCCGCGCTTGGCTACGTGGTTGGAGGTGAATTGCTGAAGCTGTACACGGATTTCCTCACCGTGGATCCGTCAGAGTGAGTTCCATTAATATTTCCCATTGTCGCGTCACCATTGTCCGTGGCATGTTTTTCATAAATACCGCGAAGATGGTTTTAAATAATACAATCGAATCAGTTACGAATTGTTTATTAACCAGAATCACAAACTGAGAAATTAATCACCAGCTGAAAACTAATCGAAATTTTATAATAAAACCTTCTCGTACTTGCCTCTGAATATTACAATTTGAATTGAAAGAAATACTTCAAAAAGAACCAAAAGCATTCACTTCACTTGAAGAAATAACTGATGAAAGTATCATCTAAACCAATAAATAATCTACTATGTTTATAAATACATTTGTAATATTAGAAAATGATCATTTTCAATTTTACAACTCTGCACATTGCTAAATGAAGTTGATGTTTACATGCCAAGGTATTAGAAGTAAACTGGGTTTTCTTATGAATAATACCATTATAATGAGAATTATTATATATAACTGTGATGAAAGTGAAAAAGTCGTCAAATGGCAAAGAACGAAAAATGGCATTAGACAGTTTCGAAATATTAAAATGTCGTGAATCATTTACATTTCATTTAATGTACACAAAAATACAACAAAATATTTCTTCCGTAATTTTTAAATTATTTGAATATGAAAGGGTTAATCTCGTATCTTCTTCACAATCACAAAAACCTGTTCTTGGATTTTCACGACTCTCCAGATTATTAAGAAATTCTGCCTTCGAATAACGCTCGTCGCAAGCTCGAGTCTCCGTATTATTGAATTTATCGGGAATCCAAGTGGCCGCCGCGTTTCAGTGTGTCAGCCATTGATCGAGAGACAGATTAACGGGGGTAGAATAAACGGATCGGTGAAAAGACGCGAAGGAATATCGGAATCGGTTTCCTCATTAGCGTCTCAGGGGCAAGAAGCCGTTAATTAAGCATCGCAAGCACGGTTACCATCGTCGAGCAGCTTTTTTTCCCGCCGTTTATCGCAAGCGTGTTTCACCCCCCCCTCCCCCTCCCCTCTATTTTACCCTCGGGGTAAAGTGTGTTCTTTCAAGGCCGTGTGACGGCGAAAATAGATTATAAAAATCCGATACACTTTGTATAGGCCGTCTATGTCCGTTAACTGAATTTCACACGGACGTAAAGGCCCGTTTACACGTTTAAATAATAATTAGAGCAAATTCATTTAGTCGTTGTATTCGACTTGAGGCTCGTTTACACGTTCAAATAATATTTGCAAACTGACTTGTACGTTACACGTTCAGTCTACCTTGCACGTCTATTTTATATACAGATAAAGAATAAACTATAATTACAGTCAGTTATTACAAAGTAACTAATAAAAAAGTAATGGTAGTTTTTTGCCAGTGACGTTTATCACTGGATGATACGATATGAGAATACGCAACAAATGGATATCGGTCCTATGGAGGGATTCTCTTGTAACAGTTCTAAGGACAAGTGATTTTTGCCAATTTTATTTTTTAAAAACTATTGATAATATAGGAGCAAACGATCGTACAATATAAGAAAACATCTTTAAATTATAAAAAAAAAACTATTTTAATTTTTTTTACGTAGTTTTGAACAGTATTACAATCATGTCAACCTTCTTGATGGTGTAGTTATTGTTGACATGCGGTAGAAAAAAATAAATAAAGATTCATCAGTAACATAAATAACTCATTTATTAATGATAAAATTAAATGAAATATTTAATAGAAACTGAGAATTAAATTTGCTAAATTTAAGTAGTAAAATATTTCAATAGGGAGATAACATGCATATTGAACAAGGTTATGTCAAACATAACATAGATGGTAGATGGAAATGCTGCAGGAAACAATACAGGAACACTTGTTCTATATTTGAAAATACCATTTTTGGAAGCTCACACCTAACCATATATACCTATATTATTTTAATATTGAAAATATTTAAATACACATTACTTAATTATTAATATAAACAACATTCATTTGTGTTGAAAGTAATTATAATATCAAATGTTGATGCGTCGATACTCACTCCATTCGATACGTGTACTTTTTTTCGACACCTACTTGGTGTCGCAACCGTACGTATCGATACCAAAAGTACTCGGTATCGAAACAAAAGTGTCGAGTAATGTACTCGTATTTACTTGTATCGATTCATCCCTACATACCTGTGCTTCGTATTCCCGCCACCCAGAGGAGGGGTCCACGTGTGCGTGGCGCGTATTGTCGGGTCAGATCGTCGCAAACAGCCGATAAATCCTGGCGAGAATTTAATAAAGTTGCCGTGACGCGGTAGTACCAAACGCCTCGCCCAACCCCCTAAATGCCACGTTCGCCCCTGTCGTACGCGACGCCCAGAGAACAAAAAAAAAGCAGGAAACGCGTTTAACGGCGGCAACGAGAGGCGACAAATGCCATTGGCGCGCGGCCATTACGCGTCATCAGCGCCCCCATCGGTATTTGACGACTATGAACTCTTTACAGCCATTGGGGTTGGGGGGTGTAATGAATGTGGACAGGTTTCGACGTAGAAATGATGATTTTGAACGTGTATTAAAAATACACGTGTAATTAACATTAGGTTTACAGACATTTCTTAAATACAGACTCCTCTCGATTATTGTCTGGCTTGTTTTACATGATTATTGTCCAGGCAATATCTAGGAGGGGGTGGGACCAGTCAAGCGCATACATTGTTGCCTCTCCGCTTTTGTTGCCGAGGTTCGAGCTTCGGGCAAAAAACGAATTTACGAGGGTCTGAAACATCTCTCCCTATGTGATTATTGTCCCGGCGCGGATCCGAGTTTGGGACGATAATCGAAAGGAGTCTGTAAGACAATCTAGTATAATGTTCCAATAAAATGAAATTTGTAGTATATAAATTAAAAGCCAACATAAATTTCGTCGAAAGCGACATTATAATTCTAATAACGGTAAAATAGTAAATCTGCAATCCGTTATTTTGACGGATTTGGTAATTCTAGTGTTAATAACAATGTTCAACAAATGTTAATATATCCTCCTATAAGATTATTGTCTCGGCGCGGGCCCGAGTTCGGGACAATAATCGAGACGACTCTGTACTTACTTCTACGAGCACCCGTCAAATTGACGGGTAAATTAAAATAGGCATTTTCTTGAAAAAATCGATTTATTCGATTTCACTTTTTTTACAATGAATCTTTACAACGCGTCCTTTCACTGCAACTGCAACTCAGTTCATCTGATGCGCGTCTTAAAACCATGTACATCCTATTTAGTCATTTTTCCTTCAATAGTAGCGGAAATAATTTAGGTGTTCGAGTTAAAATTAACACCCTGTATATACTGCATAGAAATCTGAATAGTTGGAAGGCCTAGGAGGTAATAAATGTGTGTATAGATTCTTTGAATGAAATTATTCATTTACGGAAGAAGTTGATAGCCTCCGACTCCGACTGATTGTGACTCGTTAGTGACTATTTCGTTTTTTTCTTTTGATTTTTCAAACGATTTTCTTACAAGGCTTCACACAGAACACGCTTTAGCAGTAGTATTTTAGCGATATCGCCAAGACTATACATTCTCTGTCATTTCCAATTGTTTGAAATTCAGTACAGTAAGAGATTTAAGGTGGCTTCCAATTTTACCAATTATATTTGAATAATTACTATTTTCAACTATTTCGAAATACTTAATAAGAAAAAAAATTGACAAATAAGTGGAAAAAACAAGAATTTGTTTTCCTTGTATAAAGATTTAATTTTTTTTTACCTTTTAAGAAAAAATTGGAAAGTTCGTTGAACAAACCAAAGGAAAACAAGTGACGTTGACGTTCGTAGCAGACATGCATAGAATATACTACCGAACGCATTGAAACCTAAGTTTGCATATTTCGTCCTTAATTTTTAATTTTATTTAATCGTTAACATAACCTTTTATAACCACCCAATTTTTTATGAAAATGAAAGTTAAAGCTCTTAAGAACGTTCTGTTAAATTTTCAACTGAATTTATAATTATTAAAAATTTGTGTGATCCACCTTAAATGGCACGTCCCGCAAAATCTTGAAGCAACCGCATGCGCCTCGTGCGTAGAAAAGCCATCTCCCTCTTCTTCTAGTTGGAAAATATATATCCCCATGGACAAACCGAGCGTATAATGGGTCGCGATTAATAGTGCATGTAACCCCGTGGACGGTGGTTGCACGCAGTCGGGACGCCCCCATGGGGAAAATGTCAAGCGGTGAACCAATGTTTGACGCGACGACGCGGACGTGTTACCCTTCAAAACTGTCACTTCATCCCCCGACACTTAGGGCACAATCAAGTTCCATTTGTCTACTCTCTCATCCCCCCCCCCTCCCCTTCCCCCAACTCCCATCCACCGTTTTTTTCCGTTGAGTCACTCCGCGCCGCGAGATGCACGTGAGAATCGAATTAATCGCTGTCCGTGGTTCGTTGTCTCTTCTTTTCTTTCCATTCCCTTCTACTTTTTTCTTTTTTTTTCTACTCAGTACTCTGCGTCGGGATATACACAGCGATGGAACATCCACACGGTGAATCGATCTTGCGTTGGCTGTGTAAAGGCTTGTTTACACGTTCGAACAATTCGCGTAAATTAGTGATGTGCATTATCGACTAAATTAAACTATGTCGTCTAATTACTATTTATTCGCGACAAACACTATCGACTAAAAAGACTAACAGTCTAACAGTCTAACAGTCTAACAGTCTAACAGTCTAACAGTCTAACAGTCTAACAGTCTAACAGTCTAATAGTCTAATAGTCTAATAGTCTAATAGTCTAATAGTCTAGTAGTCTAGTAGTCTAGTAGTCTAATGAGCTGATAGTCTAATGGTCTAATGGTCTAATAGTCTAATAGTCTAATAGTCTAGTGGTCTGATAGTCTAATGGTCTAATGATCTGATAGTCTAATGGTCTAATAGTCTAATGGTCTAATGGTCTGATAGTCTAATGGTCTAACGATCTGATAGTCTAATGGTCTAATGGTCTAATGGTCTAATGGTCTGATAGTC